AATCAAGGTGCCAGCAGGGCCATGCGCTCTCTAAGACACAGGGGAATGACTATTTCCTTGTCTCTTCCCACATTCTGGTAAATGGCTGGCATTTCTAGGTGTTCCTTGGCTGTAGCCATGTAACTCTGATCTCTGCCTTCACCTTCTTACTGAGTTCTTCCCTTGTATCTGTCTTTTCTTATAATAAAGACAGTTGGCATTGGATTAAAGGGCCACGCTACTCCATTAGAGGAGTTTGATGTGGGAAACTAGGCTACGACATAACTTAGATCTCATAGTCCGGAGGTCAGGATGTTATCTTGCGTTGAGAACAGGGAAGTATGCAGAAGGCCTCATGCCCCCTGGCTATGGGCATAATGCTGATAATCTAGCACTCCAGAGACAAGATAGCATCTGCTGAGGACAGTTGTCAATACACAGACGTTTGGGTGTAGAGGAAATCTGGTTCCTCATTAACTTAATCCTTATCCACCCATTTTCTATAGTTGCTGTTCCATGAAACACCTGCTACACCTCCCCCTGTGCCAACTGTGGAGTTTTATTCAAGTCTGTCCACTAGACGGAGGTCTTCTCCTGGTCCTCCCTTTTATATCTTGAAAATTGCCTGTCTCTCTTTTTTTTTTTTTTGGTACCGGGGATCAAACTCGGGTCCTTGCGCTTGTGCAGCAGGTGGCGAAACCACTGAGCTAAATCCCCGGCCCCTTGCCTGTCTCTTTTATTCCTCATCATTCCTCCCAACAGGTAGCTGAGGGTCTAATCAGCCCTTAGTAGCGTGGACCTCTTTTAGCTTAATTAACTAATGACACCATTTCCAAATAAGTGTGCGTTCTGACATACAGGGAATTAAGACTTCAACATCTTATTCATTCACCCATTCATTCATTTATTTTAGACAGGATCTCACTATATAATTCAGGCTGGCTTTGAACTCACTATGTAGCACAGGCTGGCCTCAAACTCACAGCAATCCTCCTACCTCAGCCATCAGGCATGCTCCACTACACCTGGCCATCTCTTTTAGAGAGCACAGTTCAACCCATACAGGAATTAGGATGGGACCTGATAATGTACAATTCTAAGAAGCTCCCAGCTGATGCTGATCTGCTTCAGGGACCACACTTTGAAAATCCACGTAAAACTATCTACAAAACAGGTTTATATAAATGTGAAAGTTGTATCATATCATAGAAATAACTGTTCAACTTCTCAATTCTGAAGAATTCTCTCCTTCATTACTTCCTCTTTTCTTCTCTTTTCTTCCTTCTTTCTTCTGGGTTTTTAGATGGACTCTTGCTATTTTGTCCAAGCTGGCCTTCAACTCCTGAACTCAAGCAATCTTTCCCAAGTAGCTGGGATTACAAATGTGTGCATCTGCACTTGTAATTCAGCCAGAATTCCTTTCAAACATGTTTGAGAGATAGTTATCCAGTTTGTTTATGATTGCTTCCAATGGTAGGTGTTATGGTTTGGGTCTAGATGCTAGGTGGGGCTTTTTCAGAGATTGCTGAATTTAGAGTGAGAGATTGATTCATGGTGCAATGCTAGGCTCAAGGGGACTAGGATTAAGGTTGTGAGTGCTACCTGCCCTAAGTAGTCTGGATAAGATAAAAAGGGGAGGAAGACTTTGTTAAGGCCCCTTGCTTGCTTGCTTTTGGTGTTTTCTGGCCACTGTGAACAACTTCTCTTCTGTGATGCCCCTCTGCCATGTGCCACTCTGGTATGGAGCCAGCCAGCTATGGACTGAAACCACTATGAACTGTAAGCCAAATAAACCTTTCCTCCTTTAACTTTTGGTATCAGGTATTTTGTCTCAACAATGACAGAAAAGTAACTAAGACAGAATTTGGTACAAGAAAAGTGGGGTCATTGCTGTAACTATACCTTACCATATGGTTCAGGAATCTTTGAGACTGGCTTGTGGGAAGAGTTTGGAAAGGTTCAGAGATGCCCTCTGAAAAAGCAGAGCTGGCAAACCTTAGGCTTTACTGTATGGAAGATTCTGGTCAGAGCCCAGACGACCAGAAAGCTTGTAAAGACCAGGCTCGGTAGGTTTCTACTGGTAAGAAGGACTGGATCGGCTATCAGACTACAGATGATGTGTGTTATGCCTTGGAAGAAAGTTTGCATTTTGCTCATGTCTAGAGACTTTCCCTGAGACTGAAATTAAGTGCAGTGGACTAATTAAACTTGCAGAAGAAATTTCAAGGCAGTAGAATGTTGAGGTGATGACATGGCTACTGTTGGGGCCTTTTAGCCAGATTTATGTTGAGAATCAAGAACAAGGATGGCAGCAGAATGATTTAAAATGTTTTGAGTTTGGACAGAAAGGAAGATTTTGCTTTGAGAAGACAGCACCAGAGCACTATGTTTCACAATGGCAGTGGCCAAGGGAAGTTGTTTCTGGGGATTTGGTTCACAGGTACTCGACCCCTACACCTAAGAGAGAAGGAAGCCTGGATACTGCTCCAGCTGTTGGCAGATCTTGGCATCATCTGTGTGGTGCTCATTTTAGATGCACACAGAATGCAAGAGTTGTGGAGTTAGGAAGATTTCCACTCAGATTTCAGAAGAAGGCCTGGAAGGCCAGGCAGTGTGCCCCTAAGAGGGCAGTGTGTGAAGTTTTGAGTGTGAAGCAGAAGGCAGTGGAGACCTCAGAAGTTTGGAGAAGCCAGGAACATGGATTGTCTGAGGAAAACTGCAAAGAGAAAGCAGAGCTGACACCAGAGAGAAGCCATGGGAGCTACAATCACCAAAATTGCCCTAGGGGTGGAGGCATCCAAGCCCTTTGGAGTTCACAGTTTGCCACAGGTTGCTGGGGATGCTGGAAGTGGAACTGTAGGATTTAATGTTTGCCCTGCTAGATTTTGGTCGTATTTCTTCCCATTCCTTTGTATCCCCCATTTGTACCTTTTGGAATGGTAATGTCTGTCTTGTGCCATTAAATGTTGGAAGTGTTTAACTTTCTTTTCACTTGTACAGGGGCTTGCAGCTAAGAGTTCTCCTTAAATCTCAGAGGAGACTTTGCACTTGGACTTTTCAGCAATGCTGAAAATGTTAGGGCTTTGGCAACTCTTAAAGGTGGACTAAATGCCTTTTGTGTAAAAGAATGTACATGAGTCTTTGGGGGGCCAGGGACAGAATGTTATGGTTTGGTCTAGATAATCCTCTCAAAGCCTCATGTAGTCGTAGGTGGGGCTTTTTCAGAGGTGGCTGGATCTAGAGTGTGAGATTGATTCATGATGCAATGCTAGGCTCAAGGGCACTAGGATTAAGGGTGTGAGTGCTACCTGCCCTAAGTAGTCTGGATAAGATAAAAGGGACATGGAGACTCTGTTAAGGCCCCCTGCTTGCTTCCTTTTAATGTTTCCTGGCCACCATGGACAGTTTCTTCTTTGTGATTCCCCTCTGCCATTTGCCATTCTGCTATGGAGCCAGCCAGCTATGGACTGAAACCTCTATGAACTGTAAGCCAAATAAACCTTTCCTCCTTTAACTTTGGGTGTCAGGTATTTTCTCTCAGCAACAAGAAAAGTAACTAAGACAGTGCATAGCAGCCATCTCTAGGGTTATCCTTGTGAAAATGGCTGCCTGTGGAACTTTCTGAATATCTAAGATACATGCACACTATATATATATATATATAACTCATGGCAGCTGAATGTCTCAATATTAAATTCTACATTTCTGCTGTGGAACAGAGTTCTCAAAATTCTCCAGATTCTGGCTTGATCTTGAGGGCACACTTGTTGAGGCTTTTAGAAGTAGTAATTATTCCCACACTGGTTATGAATTAATCAGAAATAGACATAGAAATCCAACAGATGATGATCAAAAGATCAGATTTATTTCCAGTAAACACAGATTGGAGAGAATTTGAACCATAACCTTAAGAGCCTTTCTAGCATTCCCTAGCGAATCTAATTTATCTGACATAGTTAAAGAGAAGCAAGACAGCTCCATCTACAACTCTATGTGAGGTTTTAACAATGAACTATGCTGTTACTGTAGGGAGGGAAACTACCATGAGGAGAGGTCAGGTTTTCTAAAAGAGAGAAGGAAAGCTGTCTAATTTCACTTCCCAGGCACTTATCAATCCTACAAGATGTTGCTTCTCCCTGAGTTGCCTATTTAGCAACCATTACCACTATTTTGCTCCTTTCAAACAGAAACTCTGATGTTACTGACAACCTCTCCCATGTTGCCAAATATCTCAGAGCCAACTCTGTCCATCCTCAACAAGCCAATAATAACAGTGCTAAACTCCTTGCAAGTAATTGGTTCCTGAATTTAGGTTTCAGCCAATCAGTGCCTGTCATTACTCAAAAGTCTGCTCTCCATCCAGAGATGGCCTCTGACACTCACTACCCTTAGCAAACTGATGTGAAGACTCTTGCTCAAAGGTTGGGGGAAAGATTTTTGTACTGGGGATCGAACTCTGGACCTTGCCCTTGTGAGGCAGGTGGTGGAACCACTGAGCTAAATCCCCAGCCTGGAAAAAATTTTTAATTTTTTAAATTTTTTGGTACCAGGGATCGAACTCAGATCCTTGCATTTGCAAAGCAGGCGCCGGAACCACTGAGCTAAATCCCTGGCCCAGGAAAGATTTTTTTAAATGAGGAAGCCTGCTATCCCTAGAGCTAAGGGAGTTCATCTTGTAGTCACAGAAGAACCCAGTCGGAAGAAAAGCCCACGTTGAGAGTAGAAGAAATCAAAGAGCAGAGAAATAAATCCTGACTTTAACTATAGCTATTTGTTCTACCTTTGGATTTTGTCATTGTTATGAAAGATCCTAATTTTCCTACCACTAATATCAGTTATGCTACTGTCTCTTCATTTCTAGCTACAATAATTCTTACCAATAAAATATTCAAGTATTGTTCCTTCAGGCTAGTAGAAGCTGCCTCATGAAATTTGAAGAAATTAGACTAAATCTGCACTCATCAATGCTCCAGTTTTATGTGTTAATGCTGCTCTTAAAGTCTGTACCCTTAATTTCACAGATTACTCCAGACCCTGAGCCACCGATAACTCTCCAAGACGATACCTGCCATAGAATACATGCTAAACAATCATCTATTGAACAAATGCGACTGGAAACCAAATTATCAATTTTAGCAGATACATAACAGTTGCCTTATATTAGATTCAGGTAAATGAAAACTCCAAATTTTTTTTACATAAATTGATGTCAAAGCTATTTGTCTGCACCTTGTGTCTTGGTAACTGTATGGTCAATAGAGTTTTAAAATGTTTTAAAACCCAAATAAAGGTGATATTTATCGCTGTGCAGTTGCATCTAGGAGATTCCAGCCTATTTTGCACTTAGTTGAAATTTTTTTTTTTTTTTGAGATAAGGTCTCCTTGTGTAGTTAAGGCCAGCCTTGTAGCCAGACTGGCCTTGAATTTATGGAAATCCTCCTGCCTCAGCCTCCTGATTACAAGTGTGTGGTACCATGCCCAGAAGTTGAAATAATTTTTAACTGTGGCCTATCATTTGTCATGTCTGTTATTCTTAATTTAACTGCACAAAAGCTACATATTCCTTCAATAGTTTCATATGAATCAAATAGCCAAATGTAGATTGTAATAGCAAGAAGAGAAGACTTTGGTCACCACATTATTTGCTAGAATCACTTGATGAATTTTGGAGAAAGGATTGGAGATGTCTGAGCCGGCCCTGAGCTCTTCTTTGAAGTTGCTTCTGTGCAAGACAAAGATGTTCTCATTCACAAGCACTAAGTGCCTCTGAGGAGCAGCCTAGTGATGGTGCAGCTGTGCCTATGGTTGGAGAAAGACATTAGCCATGCAAGGGTTGGAATATTATCAGAGGCCGGACTGTGGGCACATAACAAGCCAGATTCTTCCATCAGTTTTACTAATAGAATAAAGGTGAAAAATAAAGGAGATTTTTTTCCACCATGTCAACATCTGTGTTTATTTATACATTGATCCAGAACTTAGGCAGTTAAGAGCAACTTGTTGTTAATTGACTGTTACCAAAACAGTCTTATTCAACACTCCAAGTTTGATTGTTTAACGGCTTCAAATCCATCATAATGTTATTATTGAGACCTTCAATATATTCCAGATAAAGTAGATGTATGATATTCCCTCAGAGTTTCAATTTAATAGCCTAACTTAAAAAAAAATGGAAAGGAAAGGGAAATTAGTTTGGCTGATTTGCCTCAAACGTATCACTTCTTTTGAGCAAACTCAACATAATATAAGGTGAGTACTATGCTCTTTTTTAAAAGTTATAAATTATTTGTTGATTGGTAAAATCTAGATGAGTATAAAAAGGATCAAACCTCCAACTGACACATCCTTTTTTTTTCTGAGACAGGGTCTCACTATGTAGTTCAGGCTGGCCTTGCACTCACTATGTATTCCAGGCTGGCCTTGAACCCAAAGCAATCCTCCTGCCTTAGTCTCCTGAGTGCTGGGATTACAGGTGTGTGTCATTATGCCCAAAAATTTATATATCTTTAGTTTCTACCCTTTTGTGAAAATCAGATTCTTTCCCCATTCTTTTGAAGCCATTCCCTTGAGACACAAGTTTTCTGAGATTGCCCACTGTGTGGACGAATGGCACTTAAATTTTCTTCAGCCCTGTGGAGTATAATTCCCAAGGTCAGGAGACTTGAACTAATAGAAACAACCAGATGAACTCTTACCAAATCACACATCTTTGGGCAAATTGAATGGCAGTTGTCCCTCAAAGTTTTCAGCCATCTACGAGAGATTCAGAGACACCTGGCAGGATATTTTGCTAAGGTATTTGGCTCTAGGCCACTGTCAAGAATTGTAAGTAGCATGAGCCTGGCCAACTGCCTAATGTTCCACCTCAAACGTGCACTTTGTGTTCTTGTACCTTATCTCATCACAGTGATAATGACTTCTCTGTCTTTATGAAAAAGATGCTGAAAAGAACTATCTTCTAGTGTAATAACAGAAAAAAAGGTCCAGAAAAGGATGACATTCTTGAATTTAGGCATTTGTGCCCTCACAATTATCAGGAGGCAGCATACACTTGGCAGCACAATGATTTATTAAAACACTGATCCATGTCACGCACTTTGTATTTTTTTCCTCCCATCATTCCAAGAAGGTGTTGGGACTTTGCTTGCCTGAAGCTGAAGCAATTTAGGTAACTTTGCTTCTTATCTTCTGTGAAAGGCTGAGTTTGTTGAAAAAGTTATTCTGTGAGTCCTGGAGGAAGATGGAAGGGGACTGATGAGAAGGAGAGAGACATTCTGCCTAGACAGAGAAGGGTTAAGTTTGATGGGTCCCCACTGCCTTCCTCCAGCAGAAGCAACCAGACCAGGGAGGGTATGGCTTCCAGCCTCACTGAATCCCCTGGGAAACTGGATGCATCGGGCTTCTGAAGACCAGGTTGTGTCAACAGAGAGAATGGAAAAAAATGCCTGAAGGCAGACACTTTGGAAAAGATTGTTAAAATTTATCGATAGCTATTTCTCCCTAGTGAGTACATAGTTAAATTCTATTTCTCTGCCAGTCCCCTTGTGTCCACATGGAGCTAAATGGCTGCGTCTGATTCAGTATGGGTTAGTGTAATGAATACCATTTAGGCCCTGATCCTTACAGAGTTCTTCATGGTCTCTCTGCTGTATGTCCCACCTCCCATCCCTTCTCAGACACTGACAGGAAGTGAAGCCCTAGAAAGTGAAGCCCTTTCAAAGCCCTGCTGATGACAGGGCCTGGATCCCTGAGTTACTGGTTGGAGTGGAGTTACCTGGAGTTGCCTCCCGAGCAGGAACATCCATGTTGGACATTTTGTGAGTAAGGAACAAATTGCCTGTCTTACTACAGTGTGGTTCTCTCTCTCTCTCTCTCTCTCTCTCTCTCTCTGTCTGTCTCTCTCTCTCCCTCCCTTCCCTTCCTTCCACAGAATTAGCTTTAATTGCCTGCCTAATTCAGATGTCTTACCCTTCTTTCCCGTGCACCACACATGCCTCCCAAGTGCTTCCAGAAGGAGGGGAGATGACCCCAATAATACCTGAGATTGAATTTCTCACTGACTCAGTCAGACTCTGAAAGGCATTTCAGTTGATTAGAAGAAAAGAAATTTTTTGAAACAAGATGACATTGTAGAATAGGAATTTAATCTCATTTCTCCATCTGAACTCTTCTTTCTTTCCGGAAAAGACAACTTGAGGAATTCTGGCATCTCGAACAGACAAGTTCTTCAGCACACACTTAATGGTGGCTCTTCCCATGAGGCAAGCATTAGCTTCCTGGTCACCCTCCCTCCACACTTTATTCTTAGACCTTCCATAGGATGGCCACAAGTCTAGGACAGCACACAGTTAAGCCTTTCTTTCAGGTCTTTTGCTCCTTTAATCCATTAATTAGATTGAAATTTCAACCTCAGGCTGTTCTGCTCATCTCTTGCTAATGCTGTTGCCTGAAATATTGCCCACCACTCATGAGCGTTTGACAGCAAGACCCGCTGAACAGCCTCTCCAAGCCTCTATTCCAGGAATAACCCAAGGAAAGGGTTGCTACCGGTGAAAGCTAAGTGGTGAAGCCCTCTCTGTCCACCGCTTCAAAAAGCGTAGCTGCCATCTCTGCCTTATTTTGTATTATAGCTGCTCTTTGTCAATGAAAAGTCCCAGCTCTCTATTCATTATAAAGAATAAAGAGCTTTTCAAGTGTGAGTTGCTAAACCCAGAAGGGAACAGAGCTATTTTTAAGAAGGCTTCAACTCTGAGCTGTTCCATGGGGCCAGCCTGCCAGCTATGGAGGTCTTCCAGGGAGGCCAGAACAGGGCCTCCCTCTAGCGAGGCCAGGAAGGAAGCTCCCAGGGCGTCAGCGGCCCAGCTCTGGCCACAGAGAGCCCTGTTGGCTCCCTACTGGCTGCTCTAGACAGACCTGCGACAGCCCGGGGGCCTGGGGGAGGACGTTTCATTCTCACCTATTCTGAGTTTGCCCCAGGTTTCTCACACCCACTTCCTCCACAGAGGAAACAAGCTGCTGGATTCCCATCTCGGGACATGGAGGAGGGGGTGCCTTTCTGTCCTCTCCTATCTTCGTCAAGCCATATGCAACTGGCAGCCACCACGCTTCGCTCTGCAGGAGGAGGATAATCAGAGCTGGATTCCCAAATGAAAGGAGGAGCAGTCAGAGTCGCCTGGCTCCTGTCCAACAGTAGAGAAATCCACCCAGCCTGGGGCTGGCCAGAGCTCTTGTGAAGGGCGGGGATAGGCCCCTGGGGAATGGTTTAGGAAACCTGGGTTCGAGGCCCATACCCTCTCCCAGGTGCTCCCCTGGGTTGGGAAAGGCCTTATACCCTGCCCTGTCACCAGTCACCTGGTGTGATCACTGTCCTGAGATCCACAGGATATACGTTTTCCTGCTTTTCAAGGTCATAGCATAGTGCTGCTGAATGGGGAGGAGACAATGGAAGCTGATAGAAACTATCAAGGTTCAAAGAACTAACCCGATGTTTCTGACCCTCCCCTTCGATTAGCTTCTCCACCAGAGAAGAGGGGCAGGGAATTAAGACAATTCCACTGTTCTGATTTGGGAGTAAAAAACATGTACCTGTACTAATACAATGAGAGAGAACCGAAATGGCCAAAAAATGTTATACCAAGAGTGGTTGAAGGAAATAGAGAAACTTATTTGATCATAATACATCTTACACCACGGAGAATTTATGAAAGCCCATGGAGACACAATTCAGTAAAAGTGCTTTTTTCTTTTTTTAAGAAAAAAAAATATAGCCAGGAAAAATATAGGCAAAATAGGATGATTAGATCTAAAGGAAATAATAGTATACATATACTCAAGGTAGTAAGATTTTACTATCATAAAAATGAGGCAGCCAATAGAGCTCTGAGCTTCCAGAAAGCCAAGGCAAAAAGGGAAATATAATCACTAAATTTACAACTTTCATGTGGACCCCACCACTGTCACCACAACCAATTCCTCATTCTTTTTTATCATAAGATTCATAAGCATGGATATTTATCTTCAAGCAGAGAATATTTAGGAAGTTTCATTATGGTCTTCAAGTATTTGATGGGCTGCCAAGTACAAAAAGGAAAGATTGCTTTGGGTAATTCCAGATCACGAAACCAGAATCAATGACTGTAAGTTAAGAGGAACAGATTTTGGTTAAAAATAAAGAACTTTCTAACAATTAGAGTTGTCCATAAATGGAATGAGCTGTCTGGCAAAGAAGTGAGCTCCCTGTTACTGGAAGTGATCAAACAGAGGCTGGCTAACCATCTGTTAAGGATGCGAAGGATTTGTGCATAATGAGAGAATTATGCAACAATATAATATGAGGCTCTTCATGACAGTTTTATTTATAATGGTAGGGGGGAAATAGAATCAACCTAAATGCCCAACAGTAGGGATTAGTTAAGTTATTTAAAGTATTTTCTTATGATTTTTTTTTTTTTTACAGATATTAAAAAAGCAAAGACATGGGGGAAATGCTGGTGATCTACTACATGAAGAAAAGCAGAGTCCTAAAATAGCAATATATTGCTGGGACTACAGGAATGAGATGCCAAGGAGGCTGACTTTTCTCTTATAGAATATAAATACCTCTCTAATAAAGAAATATTGGTTTAAATTATGAGTTTCAGATACAACCGAATCCATTTCTGCTTCCTAGGGCTATTTTCATCTGAAGTCCCGTTGCACTTGATTGTAGCCAAAGTGACTGAAGCCTCTTTGGAAATACATGGGACATAAATGTACAATAGGGGCTGGAGGTATAGCTCAGTAGTAGAGCATCAGCCTAGCAAGTGTGAGGCCCTGGATTTGATCCCCAGCACCAAATATATGTCTGTATAATAAAGTAAAAAGAGCTCAAAAACAAAAATCAGACATGATGGGGTCTCAAACTTAGGTTCTGCTACATGATGACTTATCTTCCTCAGTTTTTGATGTGGAATAATAGTAACAGCTGAGATTTGTAGAACATTCAGTATGTACCAGACACTGTTTAAGTGCTTTACATACAGTGGAATTCTGCTAAAAATCCTCTAAGGCAAATTTTTTATTTTTAATGGTACAGGAGATTGAACCCCAGGCCTTGTACATACTAGGCAAGTGCTCTTCAATTGAGCTATACCTCCAGACCTTCTTATTTTATTTTGAAACAAGATCTCATTAAATTACCCAGGCTAGCCTTGAACTTGCAATCCTCCTGACTCTGGCTCCGCCTCCTGAGTAGCTGGGATTACAGGTGTGCACCACCACTTCTGGGCTGAGATGAATTCTATTAGTCTTATTTTTTCAGATGATAAAAATGAAACAGAGAGAATGTCAATCTTGCCAAGCCCATATAGTGAGAAACTAGTGGAGTGAAAATTCAAACCGAGACAGTCTAATGTTAGGATCTGTAGTGCTAAGCTCAGTACCAAACTGCCTTACAGAGCCATGGAAGGATAAAGTAAATTAATATATGTAAAGTGCCTAGCAGAAAAGTGGGCAGTCAGTATGTTAGTTTTCTTTCTAAACGTTCCATTGCTCTCGGGGCTCAGAAAGAGTTTTGATTACCTTCCCCAAAATGTATTCTCTCAAAACACTGGGGAAATGTAGCTGTATGGTAGATAGTTTTACAATGAGTTCACTATCAATGACCCTCATGTTAAATCAGGAATATCAGAAATTGTGTCCCATAGGACTCCATTCTGAACCTGATTCTTTAATATTTCATCAATGATTTACATGGATAGAACAGAAAATAGGCTCCTAGAGCTGACAGATGATAGCATGCTGTTAGCAGATGACACCCATCGTCAGCTAGGAAGGCGAGCATCCAGGACAGGATTAGAATTCCAAATGGTCTGGCAAGATGGGGAAGAGGTGGAGGCAAAAAGAATGAACTTCATTAGTAACTAGCACAGAGTAATACGATTATTAAGAGGGCAAACAGATGATACTGGCATAGCAAGGCCAGGGACTAACAACGAATTATTGTTGCTGGAAAGAGTTAATGGTGGAAATTGTTCAGAACTGGAAATGAGACAGGAAGTCAAGCATGATTCTGGAAATGTACTGACAAATAAGACTATGTTGGAGTGAATCAATTTTCCCATTAAATACTGTATTTCAAAGCCCTTTTTTGAATGTTTTTCCCCCTTTCAATATTGTTCTGGATGTCTTGGAAAAGGCACAGAGAAAGCAGAAGAAATCTTTATGGTTGCAAATTATAATGTGACATCCCTTAATTGAAGAAAGCAAGTCCATTGCTGACAGTTCATTTAAGAATCTGAGCACCATTTATGTGCTAGCCTTTGTGCTGGGTGCTGGGAGACAAAAACTATCAAGACCTGGTTTGTATCCTTGAGTTTGGAGACGAGGATGATCACTTTTAAGGCTATAAAAGACTAGGTATTTAGAACAGGTCAGAGATCCCTGATATTTATGTCAGTCATGGGTAACTCCTGTGTACCTCTCTCCTTTTTCTCCTCTTCCTGTTTCCTCCCTTTCTACCTTTTACTGTCCTTTACATTTTATACTCTTCAGATCTGTGATTGGTGACTACTAGCATGGCAGGTTAGCCAGACATTTTCAGTAAAGTCCTGTCTGAGACTGACAGCATACCAAGCACTTCTCTTTTTGCATTTCAAGGTATTTCTGTAAAATTATCTTTCATCCTCCACATACTCTGCTAAAGTTGCAGGCAAGGAGGTAAGGCTTGGAGAGAAAAGAATAGGTCCTTCAGTTCATCTGTTTGGTTGGAGAGATGGCTGGAGAATGTATGTTACATATAAATAGTATAGTATTAAAGAATTTGATATTTATCTTGTTGATGACAGCAAATTAATGAAGGTTTGTGAGAAAGGGAATCAAAGATTGATTTAGGGTTTTAGGAAGAGTAAACTTATTATAGAGACAATGGATTCTTGGGGTACAGATTGGAGGCAAAGGTCCTGATAAAAGATGATAACAAATCTACAGAAAAAATAAAGTTAGAGGAGGCAGAGAATACATGGAAGTGAGAGACACTGTAAAGGAAATATCAATAAAACTTGGTGCCTAACTAAGTGAAGGTGCAGAGAGAGAGGGGTGGGGGAGGGAGAGAGAGAGAGAGAGAGAGAGAGAGAGAGAGAGAGAGA